TCCCCTCCTTTACACTCCCCACCACCCCCCCCTCATCCCGATCCCACACAATCTTTCCCCTCAAAACCGTCAAGCGCGGCCAATTCCTCACCCTCATCCCCTCATAGGGCGTATAATCAACAACATGATGCAAATTCCCCTGCTGAATCTCAATCCCTCCCTCGACCTCACTATCCGGATACCAAATCACAAGATCTGCATCGTATCCCGGCGCGATATTCCCTTTCACGCCTTCTAAGCCGTAGAGCTTGGCGGGATCCGAGGAGGTGAGTTGCACGAAGCGTTGCAGGGTGAGGCGGGAGGAGGGGGAGGAGCCTGCGTGGTTGAAGAGGAGGGGGATGCGGGTTTCGACGCCGGGGACGCCGTTGGGGATGTTTTTGTATCTCATGATTCCGTCTTTGAGGCCTAGTTTCTTGCCGCCGGGGTGGTCGTAGGTACTTGGTGCGTGATCGGAGGAGAAAGTTGTGAAAGTTCCGTTGGCAATTCCTCGCCACATTGCTTCGAGATCCTTGGGATCGTGTCGGAGAGGTGGACTACAGACACATTTCGCGCCGGAGAATTGGTCTTTCTCGCTTCCCTTTAGACGCTCGCTTAGCAGGAAGAGATATTGCGGACAGGTCTCTGCGTGTATGGGGAGCATCCGTGTTTGAGCTTTTCGGACGTGTTTCATTGCAATTTCGGAGCTCATGTGGACGATTAGGATTGGGGTTGAGGTGAGTTCTGCTAGGGAGATGATTCGATATGTGGCTTCGTTCTCGGCAATTTGAGGGCGGGATGTGGCGTGGAAATAAGGGGCTGTGTGGCCATTTGCTTCGAGACGGTCGGTGATGAGAGAAATGATGTCGCTGTTTTCGGCGTGGACCATTGTTGTGAAGCCTAATTCTCTGGCTGACATGAGGACATTGAGAAGATCGGAATCACCTAATTTGAGAGGTTCATATGTCATGTAGAGTTTGACACTTGTGATTCCCTGTTCGATGAGAAGTGGCATTTCGCTTGTCATGATATTGGGGGTAGGATTGGAGAGAATAAGGTGGAAGCCGTAATCGCAATAACTTCGATCTGCCGCTCTAGTATGGTAGTCTTTGATACATGGTAGAACGCTATCTTCGGTCTTAAGCTGTGACGCAAATGCTAACACGGTTGTGGTGCCCCCGGCTATCGCACTGCGAGAGCCGGTTGTGAAATTGTCACCAGTTGGACTGTTGTCTTGAGCGAAATGGACATGTGAGTCGACTCCACCTGGTGTAATCATTCCACCTTTGGCATCAATGATTTGCGTATGTGAAAACCGAGGGAGTGATGTCCCTAAACAGGAGATTTTGCCATCTTTGATACCGATCTCGATGCCGAGTGGGAGGGTTTCTGCTGCTGTGACCTATAACCCGTAAGCTTTGAAAAGAAAAACGCAACCTTTAATGAAATCAAGTCTATAAATATAGAGAAATATTTAGAAATCCCACTACTTTGATTCAGGTCATGCCAAAAGCATGTATCTCACTCGAGATTCCTAGTTTGGAAAGCAAAAACGAACCCCCACAAATTCCACAATTACATCGGTGAAAACCCGGAACAAGTTCCCCATCAAACACCACAACATCCCCTATCCCATCCCCAACCCAAAAGAAACCTCCTATCATCCAAAAATCCAAAAATCAAATTCGCTAAAACAAAATCCGCAACCTCCAAACACATTCCCACCAGCACGTAGAACAGAGGATGAAAAAGCAAAAAACAAAAAACATACAACAGCAGGTATTCGCTGGTGGTCACCCACCCAACTACTAATCTGCCGATCTGAGGCTTGTGTATGGCAGAGCGGACGGGATGCCCAATTCTCCTCAGTCTATGGTCGTATGTGGGAGCTTTGGTGGTGATCATCCCCACATTCGGGTGTTCGTCTGGGGCTCAAGTAGGCTCCTGAGCTGGAAGAGGATGGAAACAAGTTCCGGTTTTTGGGGAAGTATATTGAGAATGAGAAGGAGGGATATTTAAAAGGAAATGGTGTTTAGGTAGAAATTGAAGAAGGGGGTAGGAAAACTCATTTTCTCTATGATCGTCTAAGGCCGGCTACACAGCAACTTCACTTCTTCTTGAGATGAATGGACCATCTATATCTATTTTTCTGCTTTCCAAAGACAATCTGAAAGGAAACGGTAGGTGAAATAATTCGATCTCCGAAATCTTGCACATACCAAGGCTTGTGGAATGAAAAATGTAAAGAACGAATTTGGGACAGAGCAAGCGAAAGGAATATTGGGATTCTCGAGAAAGGGAAGATATATAAAAAATCACTTTTCAAAACAGAAAACACCAAAACTGATAAATGTAAAAAAAAATGAAGGTGAAAGCTATCAAACAACAACATATGAAATGACAAATCTCAAGTAAGCAAACATAAGTAGAAGTGAAGGTAATAGAAAGAAGTAATACATACCACAATACCATTCGTAACCACATCATCAAATCCCATATTCTCTTCTCTATCACCCATCATGAACTATTGTTGTCCTCTCGATTCGTTGATAAGTTGATATCATACAAGTTGCGCAATTCAAATAAAGTTGACTAGTTGAAAATGAAGTTATGAAGAGAGCTGGGTAGGGAAAGTCAATTCGACCTCAGCTACGCCATCCCAGTTAAGACGATAGGTAGATATCAAACTAACCCATCCACGACATGGAAGTCTACTGTACTCGTGCTAGCATCTCAAGTTCCCCGTCAAATCCCAGAGTTCTCAAAAGATAAACGGTAAACCCAGTTCATGAACTATCAATCAATCAATCAATCCATCCATAACACTAATCTCCCCATCCATCCCAACCCCGTCAATCACCACCCACCCTATCCCATCCTTCAAACCCCAACAACCCATCATCCCATCTCCCATCCATCCCACAGTCCCCCAAAGCGATAGTACCGGTCCCAAATCCGGCCATCCCCCTCCTCAAAACAGACACCTCACAAACCTAATCCCACTCTCCCCATCCCATCCCACCTCACACAACACACCACAAAAGCAGCGCCCGTCCAACCCCATCCTCATGATCACCCCTGCTTGCCCGACGGCCAAAGCAAAGCCTCGACAGAGAGGGGTTGATGTCACGGGGTTGGTTTTGTCAGGTATTAGTCATAGTTTTAGAGCGTAAAACCACCGGGCTCCGATGAGTCCGCTCTGACTAACATAACTCTATTTTATATTTTAAAAATCTACTTATTTCTAGTATACCTACTGTAGGGAGACTTCGAGAAAGACCTAGTATAAATAGTACTAAGTTCTACGATTAGATAGATTATTCGAAGTACTTCTAATCTATATACTTCGACTTAAAGTATTAAAAACCCTATCCTTAAAGTTAGACTCCTAGTATTATAGTAAACAAAACTCTAACTATCCTAATAATACTATAATAATCGAACTATTTCTAAGACTAATAATCTAATACTTAAATTATTAAAAGTAACTTTTAAAGTCTTAGGAAAACTTATATTTTTAACTTTAAATTATTATAGGCTTAAAATACTACGAAATTAGATATTATCCGATTCCGGAATAATATATATAACTACTTTACTAGAGGAAAGAATACCTTAATAAACTAACTTTCGGACTTAATATTATCTAAAACTAGTATAACTAGTTATAAACTAGTTAAAGTAGATATAAATCTTCGAGTCTTAGTCTAGAATCTAGTAAGCTAGATTTAAGTAAGTCTTTAAATAATAGCTCTTAAACCCCTAATTATTAGATATTTAATGAAGAATTAGATTTATTATTCTAGGGTAGTACTCTACTTAAAAGATAAATAAACTAAATTATTAAAAGTATAAATACTTATCTCCCGATACTATATAGTCTAGTACGTCTAGAGCTAGCTCTTATTATTAGAAACCCTTATCTAAATTATTAACTCTTCTTAGAGTTATAAAGCCTTAAAGATCCTAGTATTACTACTAGAACCGATTTCCCTAGAAAGTTAATATTTATATTATTCTCCGACTTATTAAGTACTTATAGACTACTCTAAAACACTAAATTAAACGATATATTACTAATAATAAATAAGATAGGAAAGTCTTTAGATATTCCCGAGTTTATATAGTCTAGACGCTTTACTAGAGAGAAAAATAATATAGCTAGATAGCTTACCTACTTATTATACGATTTTAAGTAAGCTAACAGGCCTAGCCTACTACCTAAAAAATTCTTTAAGGTAGTTAATATACTTTTAGATAGTAAAGCTACTAAATAGCTCGATTCTTTAAAATTTAGAGCCATATATAAAGACTTATCTATAGCTATATCCTTATATATTAAAGACTTTAAAGATACTTTTAAAGCCGAGTTTCTAATAAAGGTATCTAATTAAAAAGACACTAATATCTAATATAAGATTTGAAATCTCTCTTAACTAAAGGATAAGGCCTTTATTATATATTATTAAAGAGCTTTACTCTTACTCTAGTAAGTAGGTAGAAAAGATCTACTAACTTAATAAAGTAGTCTAAAGACTCTATTAGCTATAGAACTTACTATTTTATTAAGTATTATTACTACCTTTATTAAAGGAATTTGTAAGAATAACCTACGAGTAGCTATCCTAAAATAAGTAGTACTATTATATAAGTTACTTTAGAAAGCTATAGAAATAATCAAGGATATATGCTTAATATTATCTACTATTAAAGAAATTAAGTAACGTTATAATAAGAAGGAAACCGAAAAACTTAAGGCGTTATATATATCCTAATATAGTAAACTATACTCTTCGGTCCTAAAGGATTTAAAGGCCGAAAAGGCCGTATACCTAGTAAATAGTAAGCTAATGATAGCTTATATACTTTTAGAGCTAAGTTCTAGATAATACTAAAACTAGAATTAAGGCTAAAATTAGATTTAAAATTAGATTTAAAATTAGATTTAGAATTAAACTTAAGTTAGAGTTAATAACTAAATATAAATTAGCCGATTACTAATACTAGCTATATACTATATTAGAAACTATATATTTATAATCCCTAGAAAACTACTACTAGTATTAAGCGATCGAAGGATACCTTATAAGAAAACCTAGTAAATAGTCTACTATATTCTTAATCGAAGTATTCTCTAATTAATAGATCGAAGAACTATAATATAGATATTAATAGCTCTATATATTTTAATTATAGAGGATTTAGATATATAAAACCTTACTATAGAAACCCTTCTATACTCGAATAAAAGTAGGCCTACTTAAAAGCTTTTATATTTAGCGGTACTCTAGTTATTAGATTATACTATATAAGCTATAGTTTTAGCCGCCTAGGATTTTAATATTATAAGTATTAATAAAATAACTACTAAGCCCTATATAATCCTAATTATAGTAGCTATAGTACCTAATACTAACCCGAGTCCTACGATAAGAACTAAAATTATAGCTAATTTATATCCTAACCCTAAGATAATAATATTAGTAGCTATTCGGTTGACTATAAGGCCTAATTATAGTCTAAGAACGAATTAACTATAATCCTACTTGCTAAATTTTCAGGTTTTTAGATTAAGGAGTAAGGCGATATATTATATATGGCTAGTAGCCGAATAGCTTTTATAAAAAATAATACTAAGTTCCTAGACCTCTTAGATAATATCTCGATTAAAGAATATATATTAGCCTATTTTAAAGCCTATATAGCTATAGTAAAGAAGCGATTAAGAATTAATATAAAGGATATTCTCGAGTCGGATAATAGTAAGTAAAATAAGCTAATTCAAGGTACTCGCCTAAAGGAGATACTTACATAGGAAGCCTCCCTTACTAAGGAGTAAAGAACTCGTAGAAAGATGGTATACTTACTATAAGAAATCGTCGAATAAGAAATATTAGGCCTTATTAATTATAAGGAATTAGTTTTAAAATTCAAAGCTTTTATTAATCTTATTAACCTTTAGTAGATATCGCTAGATCTTACTAAAGCTTTTAGATAATTATTATCTAGAATTAATAATAAATCTAAAAGGCCTAAGAATATAAAACTAATTATATTATCTAATTCCGTATTATATATACCCTCTAATATATCTTAAGAGCTAATTACTCTTATAGATATTAAAGCTTTAGGAAAGTATAGAGGAGGTTTAAATTTAGCCTATTTAATAACCTATTAACTACTTACCTAAATCGCCCTATTATTATTAGCTAATTAAAAGGCCTTTTAAGTACTATCCTATATTAAGAGAGTTATAAATAGTAACGTTATTAACGTTAAAATCCTTAGATATATTATCTAAGCTAATTAGGGTTTATATTTAAATATAATCTCTCTTATATTAGCTTCTACCTTAAAGCTTAGACCTATTAGCCTTATATTAAGATACTTTAGTAGAGTTATAATAGAAACTACTAATAGAGGAGCTGCTTACTTAACTTATTATATTAAATTTAAGCTCGGCTACTAAGGGGTCTAGTAAGATATATAAGCCTTTGTTCGTTCTATAGGTAAAGGAGACCTATATCTTGTACTAGGACTACTATAGCTTTAGGATATCGATACTTATATTAGAGTTGAATACTCGACAACTACTCTCGGAGATCGACTAGTAAATAATAGAATTATAGTTATGTAAGGACCTAAATTCGTCTAATCTAAGCTTTATAAGCTAATACTATACCTAGCTAAGGACTTATACGTAAGACTACTAAAGAGAGTTATATTTAAAACTCCGGAGATAAACAAGGGAGTAAAAGCTATATTATCCGATAAGGAGTTACTATATAGCTATTATTAATAAATACGTATTATTAAGAATAATAATATATTACTAGATAGAAATAAGAATATCAATAACTATAAATATAAAGAATTTTCCGCGCCCTCTATATTAAGTACTACTTATTATATTATATCTTCTCTAGTACTAATTAAATACGCTCTATCTAAAGATTTATTATATTAATATTAATTAATATCTTTTACTAGTCTATTACCTCTAGTTATAGAGGCCCTAATAACTAAATTAATAAATAGCTATACCCCTTACTTAAAGTAAGAAAACAAAGAGATATCTAGAGTAGTATAATTATATTAGTTTCTAGGTATTAGTAAAGAAATAGTACTATATATAGAGTTACCCGATTATTAGTCTACTAAGATTAGCGAGAAGCTAGTTATTCTTCGATCTTTTTAAGTAAGCGCCTAACTACTCTTAAGATTAGTAAAGAAGAAAAGATTTATTTAATATATCTAATAAACTAATACCTTATCTATAATAGATCCTATAATTATATAATAGGTTATAGATAAGTAAAAAGATATTATATTAGAAGCTAAAGTTATTCTAGTTAATAGATAATATTATTTATTAAAAGAGGATATTACTATACTTTTATTTTTAGTTTATATATTAAAATTAGATAAGCGCTCTATAAGGCTACTATTTCCTAAAAGATGTCTAGTATAGTAAACCTTATTAGACGAGTCTAATAAGAAAATTAATATGTAGTTTTAAATAGTTAGAGCTAAGATTAGTCCTTCGATTATAGGCGAGAACTTAAAGAGAATTAAAAGACTATTATATATCTATAGAGAGTCAAACTTAATAAATATCTATAACCTACCTACTACTAATTTATATAAGTATAGAGTTAGATTAGTTTCGGGAACTAAACTATATTCTATAAAGAATTAGAAGAGGTAGCTACTAGGTAAGGAATACTAGTTATATAATACTATTAATAAGGGATTAAAAGCTAGAATATATAAAAGAACTCTCGAGGTAAATAGAGAACTTTTAAGCTAGAATACTTAAGCTATCGTAGTAGCTAAGGGATTAGACTCTTAGAATAAACCTCGAATAACTTTTAACTATTAAAATATTAAAGAGGAAATACTAGGTTATTATATAGAGCTAGCCTCTAAGGCCTACGATTATATCGCTTATTTTTAATATTACTTATTCCTTAAGCTCGATCTTAAGAATATATATTAGACGATTCTAGTATATTCTAATAATTACTATTACTTTATATTTATAATCTTAGGTATCGGATAACTATAATCTACTTATATACTATAAGAATTAAAATCGTCTAGCTTCTTAATAATAGAGCTAATATATCTTATCCTAGAATAGATACTAGAATCTAAGGCCTATATTTTAAAGTCGGGCGATTATATTAAAGCGGTTAAAATAAGACTATTAATACTAGTAAGTAAATTAAAAGATATACTTCCTAACGATATCTTCTTAGATAAATAATATTTTAAAGAAAGCTATACTCGCTTTATAAGAGAACTACTCTTATATATAGCTTAGGGAAAACTATAACTATTATTTAAAAAACTAGAGTTTTTTACAATAGAAATCGTAGTATTAGGTATAACCTATTAAGCTAAAGATACTATATTATTGAAGGACGAACGCTAAGATAAAATCTCTATATAGCTAGTTCCTAAAAATAAGATAAGAGTAAGAGGCTTTATTAGAGCTATCGGAATAACTAAGAGGTTTATTAAGAACTTCTCGAAGATTAAACGACCGCTTGCCTAACTTACTAGAAATACACTCTAGAAATAAAGTAACGCTAAATAAGTATTATTTTAAATACTTAAAGAAAAATATTTAGAACTATTATAAATATATAGCTAGGACTTTATAAAGCTTATATATATATAGCGACGTAAGTAAATTTACTAGAAATACTATAATTATCTAGAAGTAAAGAATCGAACTACTTAATAACTTTAGTAAAAAGGTTAAGGTTTCTATTCTATTTAATACGTTTATATTTATATAAAGCTAGATAGTATATAGAACGTATAAGAGAGAGCTATATATAATTATCGAGTTCTATATATTTCGAACTAATATCCTAGTTATAATCTATATAGATTATAAACTACTTACTTATTTCTTATCTTTATTATTATTAGACGGGATTTATACTCGATAGGTAAGTAAGCTTCGCTTACTAAATATTACTATTAAATAGATTCTAGGATGTAGGAATTAGATAGCTACTAGATTATCTTAGATAATTTTCCTTAACCTAGAGGGTAATTTAGAAAATCTTATACTTTTTAAAAAACTGATTATTAAAGAGAATAAACCTAAATAAGTTTAGAAGAATAGTATTAGAGGATATAAAGAGTTAATTTATAAGATTAGAACCCCGATATAAGATAAGGAATTATATTACTTAATATTAGGGATTCTAGTACCTACTTATAATATAGCTATAATATTAGTCTTACTTATAGTATAACTTAAAGGATATAAAGATGTAACGAATACTCAAACTGGCTAACTAAACTTGGCTGGGTGTTCGCTGGTTGGTATGCTATGATAAGAAGAAGACTATCGGGTTGTTCACTTGGAAGTGAACTCGTTACTTGTATGAAAGATGTCAAACTAATATGATAAGATTGATAGCTAAGTTGAGCACGAAGCTCCTATCTAATGGCAGACGTGCCAGTCTTATATAGAACCTTCGTTCCCCGATTGATCGCTCTAGTCGCTCACCCTGATCGCTTCAGTCGACCGGCGACTCAGGCGACTAGAAGAACCTTCGTTCTCTGATTGATCGCTCTGCTCGCCNCTTCGTTCCCTGATTGATCGCTCTAGTCGCTCACCCTGATCGCTTCAGTCGACCGGCGACTCAGGCGACTAGAAGAACCTTCGTTCTCTGATTGATCGCTCTGCTCGCCCTGATCGCTTCAGTCGACAGGCGACTCAGGCGACTAGATCATGTGATTTTCTAACCAGAAGAAATCCCTGGATCGCTTAGCTAGTCTAACTGATCCCTTTTTGCTATAAGTCCATGGATGTGCTTAACCTGTCAGGACGCCGCCTGGACTTCCTTTGTCACATGCATTGCTACACGTGATTCGTGACAGTATCTAGAGAAGTAAAGCTCTAAATATTAGTTATAAGATTAAATATAAACTATAGGCTAATAATAGGGCCTTCGGAATAAATTTAATATAATACTTATAGCTCTTTCGACCTATATACTAATTACTTCTTTTAGTAAAGGGTAGTAGAAACTTTAAAGAGATTTTTTAGATTCTTCTACTTATAGAATCTTTTACATTCGAATTTCTTAAGGTTACTATAGAAGATATAATAACGAAATTATTTGTAAAAACTATTTACTATAAATAAAATCGCTAAAGAATTATCTCTCGATAAAGTAAGAAGAATAAAGTACCTATAACTTTTAAGAACATTACTATTTATATTAAATATAATCGAGAAAGTATAATAAAGTAGTTCTACTATTGGACTAAGACCTCTAAAGATAGTAACTACTATATTATTAGGATTTATAAAAGGTAGTATACTATTCTAACTAGTAGTATTAATCGAATAATAACGTTCGATATCTGGTAGAACTATCGGATTATAGTTTATAAACGCCTTAATTATATTAATATTAAAGCGAGTCGGAATAGGGAGCGCTAGGTACTATATAGAGCTAGGTTTTTATAATATAAGGCGAAGTTTCTTAATTATCCGATTATTATAATCTAATATAAACTAGTTAGTATCGAACTTTAAGTAGCTAATATTTATAGCCTAAATATAAAGATTTCTAGACTTAGTAATAGGTTAAGAGATCTTTCTATATACTACTTTATACTACTTAGTAGTATTCCTAGTATCTTTAATATTACTAACTTTATTATCTAATATTAGTATAAATTCTACCTTTTCTAATTTATTATTACTCTCTTTACTATTAATCTTTTTATTATCTTTACTTTTATTACTAGACTTAGGTTTAATTCTAGAATCTTCCTTAGACTTAGCTTTAACTAGAAATAATTAATATAGTTATAAAAGAAGTTAATATTAAACTTACTAGATAAATCCTCTACTCTATAATCGACTAGATCGGTATTAGTAAAGTTATATTATCCGCTATCTTAAGTAGAATTAGAAGACTTATTAAATACTTTATAAATAGCTTAATAGTTATTATTATTATCTTTAGAGAAGTAGTTATTATACTCCTCCTTATTATATTAAGCTAGGGCGTTATAATAGTTATTACTAAATATAGGTAAAGCTATCTTCTCTATAGTAGAAAGTCGGTAAACCTATAGTATAATTAGAATAAAAGTTAAGTTATAGAAAGTTAAGTTAAAATAGTAGAGAGAAACTAGGTTAAGTAAGGAGCTTAAGAAGTAAAGCTAAAGTCTTTACCTTAAAACTTACTATTAACTTTACTTTCGAAATCTCTAGTTATCTAACTAAACTTCGCCTAATTATAGTCTTAGAACCTAACTTTCCTCTAGTATTACTTATTCTTCTATTTACTTTATATAGGTATATATATAGTTAGAATCCTTTAATTGTACTAAATACTTCTTACTTCTCTTTTTACTTATTAGTAATAATATTATTTATACTATAAAACAAACTCTAGAGATCTTCTTTTACGCTTAAAACTTATTATAAAAGAATAGGATTTATAAGAGATTTAGTAGGTTTAGATATAGAATATTCTATTTCAAGAGGTTATATTTACTTTACTTAATTATACGATTTATTATTCCTATATTTTAGAGTATAGATACTATACTCGCGGGGGCTTCGCGTGCCTCTAAGGGAGTAGAGAGGGGTTAATATCACGGGGTTAGTTTTATTAGGCATTAGTCATAGTTTTAGAGCGTAAAACCACCGGGCTCCGATAAGTCCGCTCTGACTAATATAACTCCATTTCACACTTCACTCATTTCTTCGACCAATTGCCTCCCGCCACCAAGACATTATACCGTCTGCTCGGATACCATACGGCCCTTTCCGGCGTGCGCGCGTGCTTTGCTTCCCGTTGGTTCGGCTAGATGGGTGGTGGGTTAGGCGGGGTGATAAGGGGGATTGATGGTGAGGTGCGTTTTTGGTGATAGAGGGGTATTAGGTTTAGGATTGGGATGGGAATGGGATTGCGGGCGAATGTTTTTGGGGATTCGGGAAGGGGTGATGTGATTGCCCGTTTGGATTGAGGTTTTAAGGGAGGTGTTGTGTTGTGTTGTGAGGGTGCTGAAGTGGGATGGATGGTGAGAGGGAGGAAAGTCTATTGGTATCGTGAATATTGTTGTTTTTTTTGAGATATCATTTACATCTCAATTCTCAGCACCATCCATAACATATATATTTCCTGGCCTTATTTCGCCAAAAAAGGGAACCTCTTCAAAAAGGAAATCAAATCTTATACCAATCCATCCAAAACACCATCTCCAAACTCCAAACCTTCAATCAATCTAACCTCATCCCCCAACAACAACAACACCAACAACCACCACCATGCCACGCCCCCTCAAACTAGCAGCCGCCCAAATGGGACCCATCCACCAAACCTCCAAAAGAACAGACACAATACACCGGATGCTCACCCTCCTCCAGCGCGCCTCCTCCCTAGGGGCGCAAGTCGTGCTCTTCCCCGAATGCGCCCTAACAACCTTCTTCCCCCGACACCTAATAACCGACGCCTCGCTCCTCTCCTCCTACTACGAACACGACGACGACCTCCCCAACGCGCCCAATACAAAACTATTATTCGACGAAGCGAAGAAATTGAAGATTGACATCTCCCTGGGCTACGCAGAAATGACCCCCGGCGGAAAAAGCTACAACACCTCTCTCTACTTCTCCGCGCACACCGGTACCATCCTCGCTAAGTACCGGAAAATCCACCTCCCCGGTACCTCAGAACCCTTCTCAAACCCCGAGGCAGTAAACCAACTTGAAAAACGATATTTCCACATCGGCGACTTAGGATTCTCCGCCTTCAGAGCGCCGGATTTGGTTCCAGGGGTGTTGAAGAAAGGTGATGTGAAGGAGGAGGATGAGGGGAGGACAGAGGGAAAAGGCGACCCGATTATGGGGATGATGATCTGTAATGATCGCCGGTGGCCGGAGAGCTGGCGGTGTTATGGGTTGCAGGGTGTTGAGGTGGTGCTTTGTGGGTATAATACTGCGGGGTACGCGCCGGATCTTTGGGGGACGAGGAGGGTGATGACGCCGGGGGAGGCGGAGGAGGATGCGGTTTTTCATCATAAACTTGTACGTATCCCCCTCCCCTTATCCTTTCTTCCTCCCCCCAAAAACTCCACCCTTCTTTCATACACAAACTAACAAAAAACAGGTAATGCAATCCAACTCCTACATGAACTCCTGCTTCTCCATCTCAGCAGCCAAATGCGGGCTCGAAGACGGGAAATACGATCTTATCGCAGGAAGTTGCATCACCTCGCCCGAAGGACATATTCTTGCCGAAGCGAAAACGAGAGGTGATGAGATTGTGTTTGCGGAGGTGGATTTGGAGGATTGTCGACAGGGGAAGGAGAAGACGTTTGATTTTGCAAGACATAGACGGGTGGAGGCTTATGGGCTTATTACGGAGAGGACGGGGGTTGATGAGGGGGGGTTGTTGTAGGGAGAGGAAGGGGGGGATGGGAATGGGTGATGGCTACTAATTCAGGCGAGGAAAGAAACAGAAACAAAACACCAAGAATCATGAGATTATAAAATCGAATCTCATAAAGACCAAATGTCACAATTCCAAAATCACTATACCATAAACACACCATCAACACAGAACCAAAAACAATACATTCCACTTACCTAATCCTCATAACCATATGAAAACACATTAGTATAAAATTTACAGCCTCGTATCATTACGCTAATTGTATATAATATGAAAGTTTTAATAAAGAAGATCGTTTTGTTTCATGCGAGTTCTTCTATTTATTAATTATTTCTCGCTAAGTTAATCAAAGGAAGAAACCAAGTTTTAATGATTTACGCGAGTATTGCTAGATTCACTGACTCACGCAGGTTCGTCTAGTAAAATTGATTGTTAGCATGGCGTTTTTTTCGTAGAGATATTAATTAGGGATATTAGCCTAGATATTTATTGGGGTAATAAGGCTTATCGCCTTTTATCATTTGAAAGTCACTTCTTATATAATTCTACTCCACGTTAAAGAGTCTTTCGATTTGAGGATTAAAAAGAGGGTTATATAAACATCTATAAACTTCCCACCATCAACACCTTTTAATCAACACCTCACAACCACTCCTGCCCCCTCGCCTCCCTCCCCACCCTCGAACTCCTATAAATCCCCCCCTTCGCAGTAACACACCCCTCCCTCACCAGCCCAATCAAAATCTGCACCCCAATGCCCACCCCATCAATAACCTGCGCCTTCGACTCCCCTCCCACCGCTTCCTCACATTTAATCTTCATCTCCGTCATGCCCGCACAGCCCAGCGCAATACAATCCGCCCCCTTCTCATCCACCAACCTCTTCGCTGCCTCGCCCATAAGTCCCAGGACCTGGTCTCTGGGTAGGGACTCGAGCTCGAGGACACCGAGGTTGGTGGTTTCGCAGCCGACCGAGTAGCTGGCGAATCCGTATTGGCGAATGGCGTCTTCGTGCATGATTTTACTTCGTCCCCCCGTGGCGACGACGCCGAGACGGCCGCCGAGCATTCTGGCGGTGTAGAGGGAGGCTTCCATGATGCCTATTACGGGACCGGTTAACTCTTCTCGGAGGGCGTTTATGAGTGGGTGGGCGCTGAAACAGGCGACGAGGAAGGCATCGTAGTTTGAGGCCATTGGGACGACGCCTCGGATGGCTGCTGCGGCGGAGAGAACACCGTCCAGGTTGCCTTCGATTGCGGAGGGGGTTGGGTGTGGTGAGGTGAAGCCTGTTACTGTGCAGTAGGGTGGAAGGGTTGGTTCGAGAGAGCGCAGACAGGCTTCTGTCATTGAGGGGGTGCCGTTGGGGTTTATGAGAAGGATTGAGATGGGTTTTGTTGAGGTGCCGGTTATTGATATGAGAGGTGGTTGTGAGGCCATTTTGAAGGTGATGTGATGAATGAGTAGAGGAAAGCAGAAAGTGTGGAAAGTGAGGGTTCAATTGGAGTTATGAATAGCATTCAAGATTTGACGATAGGTAAAAAAGTGAAGATGTATGACCGAATGATGTTGAAAAGACAAGGTCAGACTTCCCGTTAAAGAGCCGAGAACAATAGGAGAGACGAGGATCTGAAGCTACTCGAGTACCGCAGAGAAAAATGAAAAGAAAGTCTATTGCTATCAGAAAGAGCTGGAAACATGAAGTGCCCGTCTGTAGAGTGATGGAGTTTTGTAAATCAGACGTTGACTTCAACCAATGATCAGAGTGTAAACATGCCCCTCTATGGTTGCCACCAGAAAGAGCCAAAAGGGGAAATTGGCACTACCAGTAAAGAAATGATCAGGAGATACTCTTCACCTGGTACTCTGGGGACCCGTGATTGAATTGCTGTACATGGATACTGGATCAAGCCTTTCGCGTAACGTCGACTCTCACGATGTGTCGTTGAGCTGCATCGTGAGCTTGATGGGAGCTCACTCGCTCTAGATAACTTGACGGGCAACTTGCTGGCCGTCCGTAGAGACATGGTGGTGCCATGAAGTTCCCATGCCAGGTCCTGCAACGCCCCGCCATCATGATCCGCCCACGCGTCGACCTCTTTTCCGGTCGGCTTTCGCTCGTCACGTCTTGATTGTTGATGGAGCCGAGTTGAAAGTGGCCGTAGGTCGCTCCCGACGCTTCGCTTGTAAATTACGCAAGAGTCGTCGGTCGGTTGTCGTCGTTACTTCAGAGTTGGGGGAAGTGGTTGATTGCAGTGGAACTCCACTCTCTTCAGACTGCCCTGCCCGCCTGTCATCCCATCACCCTCTGGAAGCTGGGCTTGACAGTGGACACCCTGACGCTGCTCAAGGAAGCCCTGAAAGCTTATCGGATTGGCTACGAGCGCGCTTCAAGCTCCAAGCTCAAGCTCTCGCCTGCCAAACGTCACTACGAGTACCAGTACCAGTACTCGTACACGGTACAGAGATCCGGTACCTACAGCGTGGTGCGCTTCCTGCTGCTGTGAGGTTGCCTCACCACTAGCAGCAACTCGATTCCATTAGACTCCCAGGCACTTTCGCTATTCTGTTCCAGGCAGGTGCTCGCTCTCTGTTCTCGCCCCAGCGCGGCTGCCTCCAGCCTCAGCCTCTGCCTCTCCGGCCGCCAATTGAGGGGTCTTTGCGCTGGAGCTGGACCATACGGGTACCGGTACTCTTCCAGTCACTATCTCTCAATGGATTCGCAAACTTATCAACACCACGCGCATGCGCATCCACAACACCCACATCAACACAGTCACGCTCTCCCCTCCCTCTCCCCGACCGATATCTTCAATGGCCTGGAGCTAGCCACGCTGATGACCACCACTACCTCTGTCCAGCCGGGTCCTCGTCTCTACAAATCGCGGAAGTATAGGCCGTGTGACTTTTGTCGCGCAAGACAAGTGGCATGCAAGATAAACAACTCCCCGCCATGCCAGCTATGTTCCTCCCATGGCCGGGAATGTACGTTTGTGGAACGGCCAAAGAAGAAGAGGAGACCCAATGCTCCCAACGGCGAGTCAAGCGGGTCAGCAACAACAGGACAAGGTAGAATATCCAACTTTCATGCCGCAAGACCACAACTGGATATATCTGACTAACACTCATTGCTCAGCTCCCTTGCAGAACTTCGATGTTGGTGCGGCCCAATTGAGTCCAGGCTTTCTCACCCAATTTAATCATGAGAACTCCTTCAATGCCTTGAATGGGGAAAATGGGCTGGAGCAACAATCCTCTCCGACCCAGTTACAACAATTACAGGATGGACCACCCATATACAACATGGACCCGAGTTTATACATGATGCAAGGTGGCGTGCGAGTGCGTCCGTTGGACTCACAATTGACGAGGTCGGCAAGATTCATAGGGGAAACAGGAGAATCGAATCCATACCTTCTCCGCCACTATCATTATGATGATAACGACGAATGTACAGTATCAAAAATCACTTACCGAAGGATCAAGAGCAGTTCGGGTCAGAATGGAATGCAAGATGAGAAGGGAGAGCCTCCGGTGGTGTTTATGCTGGCCGACGACAGCCTCGCCCAAAAAGGCGAACCTCGAGTGGAAGACGAAACTTTGGCAAAGATTCGTACAGATGTCACAAAAATGTTTAGTGAGCAAGAAGCTCTTCGACTGATTGGGCTGTTTAATCGTTTTGTATACCCATATTTTCCTATTATATGTAAAAGCGAGTTATGTCCGAACGGGGTATTGGCTCCATCGGTACTTCAAGATCTCCCATTATCTTTACTTTCCGCGATATACGCAACGGCTTTGCCATTTATGTTATATGACGACCTTCTTGCTACGACCATTGTTCATAATCCACCTCCTGCGCATACACTTTTTCGAATTGCTTGGATTTCTGTTACTCAGGAATTACACACTCCTAGACTTGCAACATTACAAGCTTGTCTTTTGTTACTACAGCGAGCTCCTACAAATCGATTTACGACAGATACACCTTGGAAGACGAGTTTGGTAGGGTGGACAGTGAGTCTTGCTCAGACTCTTGGACTTTCCAGAGAGTGTAGTGATTGGTCGAGTTTACCATCATGGGAAATTACGTTGAGGAGGCGTCTCTGGTTTGGTGTTTTTATTATGGATAAATGGGCGTCATTAGGAGCAGGAATGCCAAGTCACATCCGTGTTGATGATGTTGACGTTTTGCCTCTTACGGACAACGATCTCGATGGACCATCAATCGACCCGAATCAAAATGCAATACCTGGGTTCTTGGAGCCAGAAGCAGACACCACCCATTTCAAACTTCTCTCTGAGCTCACCACGATATTGAGCGACATCATGGACTCATACTTCTCACTCCGTGCCACGCAACGAACATCAAAAGATTTCCCACTTTCTTTACAGCTAGCTCGTAGCCTCCGAGAAAGGTTGAAAAATTGGAATGATTCGCTACCCCCTAATTTAGCGATCCGACAACCTGAACGGAGTGATTCACTGGGTTCGGCTCGCTTAAGTGGAAATCCATCCCTTTCCCTCGCCTTTATCGTTACGCAAATGACGCTTTTCCGCGCGCTCTTACGACCACTTGAGAACCTGAGTACTGAAGAAGTCTCAGGAGGCGGAGAAGCTGTTAGAGCCGTGAGACAGGGTGCTAAGCAGTGTGCCAAGGACGTTGTGGAATTTGTGGAACATTTGGGACGTGGAGCGTTAGATGCATTTTGGCATTCTTGTAAATTCACCCTTATTTTCTTTCTCTCCCCTTTTCCTCTGCTCATATCTCTTCTCTCCTCCCTTTCTCCTATTCTTCCTCTAATAGAGCCCAGGGTCCCGCGCCAACTTCGCCATCGCCTCCTCGTTCCTCATGCAGCTCCACATCGTCTTTGAACACGACGCTGAATTCGTCGAAGTCAAGGATCTGGTTGCCCGGTGGAGGTGGGCTATGAGGATTGGCAGTGGGAATACCGGGAATGGACTGATGAGTCTTGGGTTGTTGAGGTTGGATGGCATGATGAGGGCGGAGAATGGGAGTGTGAGCGGCAATGCGAATGGGAGTGTGAATGGTGGGCCTGGGCCGGGGAGTACTTGTAGTTGATGAATGTTGGATTTTTAAGCGAGCGAAGCTGTGTATTTTGAGAGTGAGAGTGATTTTATGGGTCTGAGGCTCTGTCTGGAGGGAGTTTTGTTTTGGATGAGGGTGGGAGTCGGTGTGGGGGTGTGGATGAGGGTAAAATGATTTGGGTAATGAGATTAATTGGGTAGTGCATGGATGGATGCAAGGATGGATCCGGGGATGGATTTGCATGGGTCTAGTATGGAATGGAATGAAATGCTACTTGGGGATACTAAATTGGGGATTGATAGCAAGATGGAGGGGGGAATTGTAGATACTGTAGTGTAGGTTGATGTGACTATGTTAGTCCTGTTCCTATGAGTGTACTCTGGATAGGAAATTGTCTTCTATATGTAGGCGCGTGATGGACGACTGGTTTCATGATGATAGGAGGTTGGTGGTAAGGATACTTGGTTTAGTTTATTATAATCTAATCCAATCCAATCCAATCGAATCTACTGCCTCGTGACCTTATACATAACCTCTTTGAATATTAACCTTTTAACCCCCCCTCGCACCTTAAAAGATCCCCAAAGATTCCTAAAGATCCCCAGAAACGGAGTAGGGATTCTGGAATTCTGGAATGGGAATCGGGATACGTGGGGATACGTGGGGATACGTGGATACGTGGGTTATTGAGTAGAGACTGTTGGAAGAGGGGAGGAGATGAGGGGATGAGATTATGGTACTTTGATGTACTGTACTGTGAAGAGTTTATTTTGGGGTGGGGATGGGTGGTGGGAGTGAGAATGGGTAAGGGAGGGAAGGGAGTAGTGGAGATGTGATCTTTGATGATGAAAGATGGGGTTTCTTTGGGGGTAGGTGGTACGGGGGTGTGATGTGTTGCTCATTTAACAGATGAAGAGAGGATGGGGAGATGAGAGGGGGTTGATGGTTGATTTTTTGGGGATTTGGAGAATGGGTGAGGGTGAGGGGTTTGGAAATTGGGATACTTAAAAAAGAAAGAGAGAATGATAAACTGAATTGGTTTGGACTGGTCTCGTCTGGTCTTTCCGTTGTTAAATAAGTGCGATGGCTTTTATATTGATTCTCCCTCTCTCATCTTTATATACATTTGTCTTCGTCGTGGGGTATCGAGGTAAGGAGGTTTGTGCGGAGCTGAGCTAAGCTGAGCTGAGTGTGGTAATTTCAATATATATAAGGTAAGATTGAGTATAATGTGTTTCGAGATAGGGGATCACGTAGCTTGGATGGTGCTATGTGGAATGGCAATTTTGATGGGGATATTAATTCTAATGGGTTGGGGGGATCTTGGTGGTGTAGTTATGATAGATGTCTTTGTTGGACAATTTGGATGGAGAGTGAGTTGAAGGGTATTTGGGTGGGGGGTGGTGTGGTGTGATGTGATGTGATGTGATGGAGGTGTGATGGGGTTGTATTTGGGAGTGGGAATGGGAGTGGAGATGGTGATGGATCGACGTATCTTAGTATGTTACTTGGTTTCCTTGGGTTGCTTTGGGTTTTTGTTTTATGGAGTAGTTTGGATATATGTGGATCGTGGTAGGATTGGGAATTTACTGGGACTTGGATGATGTGTAACATGTGCATGAAGTAAGACATTATTGCCGGAAGGATGTTTCTTTTGGGTTGGGCTGTGGTGGTTAAGAAGGGGCAATTTGGGATCTATAGTCTATTTAGGCCGCGCATTTGGGAGTTCATACCTATCCATACAATATAAAAGAGTAGAGTAAATATCACCATCCTTTGGCTTTTGTGACAAAGCGCTAGCAGGGACGCCAGATCTCAATCAAGAAAAACTGACGCAGAGGAAGGGAGCGCTAGCCAAGATATATCCGTGTTTCTGCTCACATGTTCTCTCTTTTTGTTGGGGTGATCTTACTAGGAATTTTTGAAACTAGAGTGCTAATGCGTGTTCCTTCGTCACCTCACGGTTTACCACTTTTTTCGATCTGATCTGATCTGCTAAGCCTAAGCTGCGAGAGAAGTACAATGGATCTGGCCTAGAGACGGAAATCGACCGGTTAGTTGGATTTCCATGGCAAAAGCGCGGCCGTGAGACAAACCTTCAAAAACCTTACCCCGGTATTGTAACCACCTCTTTCGACTTATATCATTTCGGCATCGGAGCCAGAATGAATGTAGAGTGTGAATACGTTGATGCTGATGTCGACGACCGGTTTTAGACATGCCATTCGACGATATTACGGCTTGATATCCTGTCGGAAAACAGGCCGGCACCTAGTATTGTTAGAGGGAAGTCCGCATCCGGTGGGATTATAGAGAATAAGGAAGGATTAAGAAAGTTATGCAAATGAAAGGTGGGAATCGAGAGTACCTCCTTTTTCGAAGGTAGAAGGGATGGTTTCTGGGTTTTGATGATGAGGGAAAGAGGGAAAGAGGGGAGAGGGGTGGATGGAATGAGCGCTTGGTCTCGGTTGGTTGCTGGTTTTTGGGGAATGAAGAGGGGGGTGGTTTAGAGGAAGTGGTGGGGGTTCAAGAAGAGCACATTTAGGTATTCGTTGATGTGCTAGTGGAAGGCTTGAGGAGAGAGAAGGTAGGAGGGGTGGGTGGTATATAAAGCCTTCATGCGGCGAAACTGGAGAGAGTGGAAAGAGCTGATTTCTTTTTTGGGAAGGAGTCGGTGTAGTATGTGGAATTTGAGAATTGTTGTTTGGTTTTTGGGGTTTTGG